GGGGGGGCAGGGGCTGCCTGGGCCGGGACAGCAGCGTTCCTGCCGCGGGCTGAGCAGTCCATGGGGACCACATGCAGGGCTGGGCCAGCCAAAGCAGACCTGCAAGACGCCAGTTTTCAGCTGCCCGCCAACGCAAAACCTGCCTTAAAAGGGAGCGCAGCTGACAGATGCCTGTCCTAGCCGGGCAGTGGCCTCAAAGGGGGAAGCAGGGCCACCAGAGAGGGGGGAAGGACATGCCCTGTGCTCTGCATTTCATCAGGGTGCAGGGAGGGGGTCCCGGTCTGGGCGACGCAGCCGGGTGCTCACGCAGCTGACAGATGCCTGTCCTAGCCGGGCAGTGGCCTCAAAGGGGGAAGCAGGGCCACCAGAGAGGGGGGAAGGACATGCCCTGTGCTCTGCATTTCATCAGGGTGCAGGGAGGGGGTCCCGGTCTGGGCGACGCAGCCGGGTGCTCACGGGGTGCTGTAGCTCAGTTCAGGGGAACGTGGCAGGACTGAAACACGGCGCTTGCATGCGCGTGGTGCCTCGGGGTGGGAAGGACACCTCTCTCCGCCCATGTTGTAGGACACTGTCTCAGCGTGACAACCCACCCACGGGCGGGTTCCACTGTCGACAGGGCCCCCCGTTTGTGCCGGCGAGGGGTGCCCTGCATTTCGTGCGGCAGACACCGGGCGTCCTGGCGCTGGCTTTCACAAGCCCTCATGACCTTTGCAGCGCAGCAGCGTGCCCTGGGGAGGATTGTTTCGTACAAAGCAGACCTTTGGATAGGCTTTTCATTTCCTTCACGGCCAAGCACAAAGGAACAGCCAGTCCTTGCTCATCATAAAATGACAACAGTCGGCGAGGCAGATGGGCTGGCTCTCCACAGTGAGTGGGGCCGCGCCTCGCGCCCACAACATTCCCGAGGTGCTGCCCGAGGGGGGTTCCAGCCCCACAGCTCCCTCCTGCTCCATCTCGTACCCCAAACTTCCCCACGGGCAGGAGACCCCTTGCCTGAAGGTCAACTGTTATGCTCTCTTGGGAGAAAACAGCTTTGTGCTCAGAGCGGGGTGAAGCCCTGGCGATCAGCGAAGCTTCCCCTGGGAGCAAGGTTAATTGACAGCTGCCAATCAATCTCACCTCCAGCCCGGGTCCGACTGGGGCTCTGGAGCACCCCGAGGAGCACTGGAGTGGGCAGGGGGGTGAGCCAGGGT